ATCCAGAGAAATATTCTGCCTTTTCAATATTTCCTAGGATATTTCATTTTTCTGGGAGAGGGCTGGGTGATAACTTCCCACACTGCCCTAATAACCAACTTGGTAGGTGTGGCTTTGTGGTCCTGTGACTGTGTGGGCATGGCCAACTCAATGTCATTCACTTCGATGGGTGCTTCACCTTAGTTGTTACAATGTAATAAGGGTTAATCAGAGATGCAATTTCTGTAAGCAGGGCAATAAAGATTAGGCTAGAAACAACACCAGAATGTTTCATTCCTGCCTTCCTTACAGGATTAGCCTGTAAAGTGGGAAAAAAAATATGAGATTTCTTCCAACAACTTGTTCTCCCAACTGCTTAGAAAGTTAACAACCGGTTCTCCCGAATAGGTGTGAACCGGCTGAATCCCACCACTGTACATACCGCTTAACAGTGTTTTACAGCAGTGGTGTGATTCAAAGTTTTTTACTACCGGTTCTGTAGGCATGGCTTGGTGGGCAAATAGGCAGGAAAAAAATGCTTTAAAAAGGGGGGGGAGCGTCTAACAATGGTGTGGCACAGCTGTGAGTCACGTGATCATTGGAAGCATTCTTCACTTTTTAAAGCATTTTTTTCCTGCTTGTATGACCGAACCGGCAGGTTGATTCACACCGGCTCAAGGTTGGCTCAGCCTTCCATCCTTCCGACATTGGTAAAATAAGTGGGGGGCAATAGGATGACTCTGTAAACCGCTTAGAGAGGGCTGTAAAGCACTGTGAAGCAGTATATGTCTAAGTGCTATTGTTATAATCATATATAAATAAAATGCCAATAAATGAAGAAAAGCTACAGGAACTGGGCATGGCTTGACTAGTGAAGAGAAAGACCAGGGGAGACATGATAGCAGCGTTCCAATATTTGAGGGGCTGCCACAGAGAGGAAGGGGTCAAGCTCTTTTCCAAAGCACCGGAAGGCCAGACAAGGAATAATGGGTGGAAACTGACCAAGGAGAGATTCAACCTAGAAATAAGGAGGAATTTTCTGACAGCAAGAACAATCAGTCAATGGAACAGAAGTTGCCTTCAGAAGTTGTAGAAGAGAAGAGAAGGAGAGGGAAAGAAGAAAGAGGAAAGGAGACGAAGAAGGGGAGGGATAGGAGGAGGAGGAGGAGAGAGGGTATGAAAGGGAAGAGGTTGAGAGGAGTAGCTGAGAGGAAGGGGAAGAAGGGAAGGAAAAGGAGAGGAGGAAAGAAGAAAGTAGAGAAGGGAGGGAGGGAGGGAAAAAAGGAAAGGAAAGTAGGATAGGTGTATGGGATGGTAAGCAAAGCAATCCCAATCATAATTTTTTATGTGGAAAAAGGAATGTTTAAAAGTATTAAAATGTGATAATAACTATGAGAATGTATACTTATAAATGTGTGCATGGGACTAAAAATTAAAAAAAAAACTTAAAAAAATTGTATATGCTCCATCACTGGAAGCTTTCAAGAAGAGACTGGACTGCCACCTGTTAGTCTCCTGCTTGTGTGTGTGTGTGGTGGTGGTGGTGGTGGTGGGGTTAGAGTAGATGACCTCTAAGGTCCCTTCCAACTCTGTCAACCTATTAAAACTTTACCTGGGGAGGGGGATATTTCCCCCAAACCTCTATGCCTCCTTTAGGTTTTCCTCTTATTCTTGCTATTGTTCCCCTATTTCTTTTTGTTCTGTCATTGTCTTCCTCCCCACCCCTCACCCTACCCCGCCCCGTTTTGACACGCCTCCCCAGCTTTGTTTCTCTTAACCCTTTTCCTCCCTGCCCGTCAATCTCCTGGGCTGTCATTTCGGCTTGTTTCCCCGCTTTTCTCGCCATTGGCTTAAGCCGAGATAAGACCATCACGTCAGAGGCGCTTGGGTTGGTCCGGCCAAACCTTAGTCCGGGCGAAGGAGGCGTTTTTTTAACCTGGGGATTGAATGAGAGGGAGGGGAGAGGAGGGGAGGGGGAAGGAAGAGCCGAAGAAGGGAGAGGCTCTCTCCGGGTCAGTGCAAAATAAAAACAGGTACAGGTGAAGCGAAGATGCAGCGAGGTGGAAGCGAGTTGTAAGACGCGGAAGGCAGGTTAGTTAGCCTAGGAAGGAAAAAAGGAAGGAAGGGAGGGAGGTAGGAAGGAAGGAAGGAAGGAAGGAAGGAAAAAAGGAAGGAAGGAAGAAAGAAAGGAAGGAAGGAAGGAAGGAAGGAAGGAAAGAAGGAAGGAAGGAAGGGAAAAAAATCGAGTGGTTCAAAAGAAACGTCGGAAAGAGATCGCTACCTGGCATGAGTGTACTACCATGTTTTCCGCGCAGCCTTATGCTGACCGACGCGCTTCGCCGCTCGGTTCCTTAAGGATTGGGAGGCGCGCCATGCGAATCCACCCAAGACCGGGAACGGCGTCCGTGTGACACGTGGAACGCAGTCACCCGTGGGAACGGGGAGCCTAGGTAAGAATGGAAGGGGAATCCGAGCTGGGTTGGGCGGCCGGGGGCGGAGGGAGATGCCTCTCTGGATCCCTCCATTGTCGTCATCCCCGTTACGGATTCAAAGGAAGGGGGGGCGCAATCCAGATGTGTCAAAAGCACCTCGGGCCGGTTTAGATTCCGTTTCGTCGTTTTCTTCTTCGGAACATCCGCTTTTATTTTATTTTATTTTATTTGGATGGGAACAGCTGGTTTTTTTTTTCCTGACCGCTTTGCTTGCACCGAGCTGGATCCGAGGAGAAGATGC